TTCCTTACAGGCACCTAAATGAACCTAGATGAGCACGGAGCAGGCGCTTGGCAGGCAGCAGCATCTTCAGTCGTTCAGAACTTCAGCAAGCCAGCTGCAGCCAGCAGCGGTAAACATTCACGGCTTGAATGCCTCGCTCTCGACTAAAAGCCGTCATCACTCAACACTTGCAGCACTGCAGACAATATTTACACACTGTCCCCTCCACGGGCTCAGGCCCTGCACGCAGTGCACAGAAGTGAGCACACCTTGCCAACAAAGAAAATCACGACAGCCTCATCTTATTTTTAGCTTATTAAAGAGAATTCAGTTTTATAATGTGTGTAAACTACCATCTCAAAAAGTGACATTCAGGGCTTGTAATCCCAGCTACTCAGAGGCTAAGGCAGGGAGCTCCCAAGTTCGAGGCCAACCTGGGCAGCTCTAGCAGCACCCTGTCTCCAAAACAAAAAAAAAAGGTAAAAGGAAAAGGACGTTCTAGTCAGCGTCTGCATTTTCTTGCACCTTTTAAATCATTGTGAACTATTCATTCCATGGTTCACACAGCAGCGGGTTCTGGAAACAGCAAAGACAAAGCCAAACTAAACACTTCCTCTTCTACCAAGGCCCCTCCCGGGCCCCCACTGCGCCCCCTAGGCGGTCAGGATAAACTCCCACAGCCCGGCAAGGACTCCCGGATCTCACTGCCCCATTCTGTCCCCCAAATCAGGCAAAGCCAGGCTGCCAGGATCCAGAACATCCTGGATATGGCATCGAAGGCACCAGCCTGCATCCAAGCTCATGGCTCACTTTGCCTTTTCCTCCCACTGCAGCGTGGCTTCCCCGCTCCGCCCCGTCTGTGGGGCATCACACTCAGCTGCTGTGCGGACTGCTGGGGATAACTGCTGTGGAAGCCCTGGACACCGTGATAGGCTGTATAACTGTGAGTCCCTGTGATTTTTACCAAGAACTGAGCATTTGGCATCTGTGCTACTTTTGTGTGTGTGGACTGGGGATTAGACCCAGGGCCTTTGCACTGAGCTACATTCACAGCCTTTGCTTGACTGCTGACACGGAGACAGGGTCTTGCAAAGTCACTAACTTGCCCGCCTTGGCTCCGGCTTCCAATTCTCCTGCCTCAGCCTCCAGAATGCTGGGGTTGCAGGCCCACATCACCACACCCAGCTTGTACTCCCTGTCTTGTGCTTATTAAACTTGAGTTCCCAGATGCACAGCACACTCGCACCTGAAGACCCTCTCTGCGTGCCCTGTCCTCAGTGCCCGAAGCACTGTGCACCCAGACCCACAAGGTGGACGCTTGCGAACTGGCTGCTGGTTTACTAGGTCGATGGATTTGACGCTGAGGTGACCAGTTCTGAGTTTTCCAGGTTCCTCATACTGATAGACACGTTTTCTGGAAGAAGCCACAATCTCGGCCTGGCCCGTGATCTTTAGGTCTGGTCTTCCTTTCTTTCTAACCAGCTGGGCAGAATTCCACTAGGAAGCAGAGGCAAAGAGAACAATTTTCTAGTCATCTTCAAGGCTCCTTTTAAGGCTGAAACACACTGGCAGTCACTTGATAACTGCAGGCCGCCTCTACCTGTCACTGTCAACAAACTGAGTCTGAGATCCGGCTACGAGCAAGGCACAGTGCTGGAGCCGGAGGAGCAGACACGGGGGTGACTCTCACAGGACCGAGTGCTGGGGACAGAACCCTGGCTTCGGGTTTTCCTGGCTGGCCCTGCATAAGTTTCTTGCTCTCGTGTTTCCTCATCTTAAATAGATAATAATAAACACTTGCCTCTCATGGCGACCACAGGATGAAATGAGTTGCTGCACGCAAGAGCTTTAGTGCCTGCTACAAGGTACAGTGAATACTGCAGAGCTAGATCCTTGTAGCTACACAGACAGGACCCAGAAGCAAAGCGACTGGCGTCGAGTCCAAGCGCCGTGAGGCAGAAACCGGAGCTGGAGTTCAGGTCCCGACCCCACCTGCGCCCCCACGTCTCCCTGTAAGTACTTCACACAAGTACCGCTCTGCCGCTGATGAGCTGGGGCACGTTCTCTACTGGGACTACCCTTCCCCCCACCAGGGAGACCTCAGGGCCCCTCTCTCCTGCTGTCCACTCCTCCTGCGGCTCGGGATGCACCCGGCTCCCACACCAACCTGCAGTGAGCACTCGAGCCTCACCTCTTCATGGAGTGGCTACAAGGACTAATTCCTGAAAATGCACCCCACAGAGCACCCGCGGCCAGCACACTGCAGGCATCCTGGGCATTGTATCCCCCTCAAAAGAGGGGAGGGGACAGGAAGAGGGAGCGGAAAGCCCCGCGGAGCCTGCTTTCTCAGAGCCCACACACACTGCCACCCCGCATGCCCCGCACAGGGCAGACTGCGACCTGGGGAAGAAGGGAGAGACGCGGTGTGCACTGCAGTGGAGGGCGGGCGCACTCCAGGCCGGAGAGGCTGGCCTCCCACCCTTCCCCTTCCCAGAAAAGAAGGGAAGGCCGCGGAGGAGGGGGGAGGACCACCTGAGCCGAGCCGGGCCCTGGCCGGCAGCCCCAAGCTCCAGAGCAGGGAGTCTCAGTATTTTCTGAACAAGCAGACTGCTCAGGGTCTGGCAGCGGAGTGGCCCGTCAGCAAGGCCTGGGACACCAGTCAGTCAGGCCCACAGAACATTCAGGACAGCTTCTAGTTCCGAAATAAGAGACCTAGAACAGAGGTGGGAATAAGCTGGGGGAAAGAACAGGATTCTCCTGGAACAGAAACTGGCATCCCCGCCTGGTTCCTAACGCACACTGGTGAATCCAAGTGCTTGCCATGTTCAAGACCAGGTACAGAGTTCAAACCCAGAACCAAGTCCGTTCTTTCCGCCCCTAGCCCGCGGGGTGGGTGAACAAAGCCATAGGCTTTCACATCCAGCAAGGGGGCAGGTGTCCGAAGACCTGCTTCCTGTTTACCTGCGCAGGTGTTTGCAAGCAGCTCTCCAAGGCTGTCCAACTGAGTTAACTTATGCAATTCTGAACGAATGGTTATGTAAATCGTTTAAGCAAATCTGGGGAAAGGGACGGAAAGCTTTCTGGTCTGGTCCGCCTCCCTGCCTCACTCTCCGGGGCAAACCGCAAGTCTCTGCTGGAGGACTGGAGAACGCGCTCCACTCGCGCTTTGCGCCCGGCGGTGGAGGCGGCTCTGCGCCCTCTGCCCCTCGCGCGGCCGCGCCAAGTGAGGATCGGCTCGGACTCCCCGCCGAGACGGGAGGCCCGGGCGCCTCCGCCGCCGGACGCCGGGCGATCGGGGAGCTCCGCAATGCGAAAGGCAGCTCCCACGGCCCTGG